ACAAACCCCATACCCACCCACACCCCACATACACACACCCACAGCCCTCCCAACCCCCATACCCACCCCATACTTTACAAGAGTAAGACTTCATTTTGTCCCTTAATCAAACCCACATGACATTTTTTTTCTTCCTTCTCTTTTTAACAGCTTTTGTGCAGATCAGCAGTTTGTACGTGCTTCAGTCCATCCGTTATTTACAGTTTTTAAAGGTGCCACTTAGAGAAACATTCTCTTTTTTCCCCCAGAAATGTTTGGCTCTTGGATTTCTCTTCCATAATCTCCCTTATTACTCAGGGTTGTTTGTCTAACAAACTGCTAGGTAGCAGAGGGTCACGGGACTTTGGGGAGTTTTTTAAATGAAAGAATCCAGCTGATACTATCCACTGTGTTTAGCAAAAGGGTTTGCACTGCTTGTTCCTTGACAAACACACGATTGTAGCAAAGAAAACACCCAGTCATGACATGAGAAGTGTTGATGTTTCTTAGCCTCTTTTAGAGAAGTGATTCCATACAATATTTGCCTGTTAACACTGAGTCTAGCCTAATAGTGTTAATCGTAATATTAATGCTGCCTAGTTTGCTACCTCTTCATGATGTGCTCCTCTGGCACTATGAAGTGGTAAAGTAAGTTCTTTCTTTTTAAGGTGTATTGGCAACAAACAAATTGCTGCTTAATTTATTTATATTGACCCCATTCATTGCTATGTCCTTATTTTGCAAGTCAGTCCTCAGTTCATGAAGAAATTTAAACTCCCAGTACGGTACAGAATCTAATTAAATGCATGACTGCTGAATTGCTATAATCCCGCTTCTGTTTACTGTGAATCTCCCAGCAAGTTGTGTGGTTTTATTTAAAAACAACAGAAGGTGCTTCCAACATGCCTGGTAGGATTCTTGGGCATAAAATCTCTGCTAACAGCTATCTTGTCAAGAGAAGCCAAAAAATAGTCCTCAATTCCATTGCCTGTGTACTGGACGAACAACTGAAATGGTGTCTTTCATTAAGAAAAACGGCCATGTTTACCAGTACACTTTGATTTTGTTTTCTCAGCAATTAAGTTTGGATTAAAACACCACTTTGAGGGTGGATGGTCAGAAGAAATTTTGTTAAAGCTGCGCTTGTGGTCTGATTTCTACGAGATACATTTACACGAGGCTATGACAGTCTGATGAAATTGTGGTACTGCCTTAAACTGACAGTTCATTTCTTTCCACTCGCCACCTCCACTTCCTTTCCGCATTTGGCTTTCTCTCATGTTTTTGCTCCATATCTGCGGGAGACGGGCATGACTTTCTTCCTATGACCTTGAGCAAATCCTGGCATCGTGAGCCATTAGCAAAAGCTTTGGCTTTATCAGCATTTGCAGTGTGTAATTGCTTAACAGTAAGGTTTTTACTACCTAAATCAGTGCCTCTCACTAATTTTGAGCCTCCATGCTTAAGAAAGCAGAAGGTGACATGAATCTGATGCCAGTGGAGGACAACAAATATTTTCAAATGCTAGAAGGAATCCTTTCAAGATACAGGCCTGGTTTACTTTGTGAGCTGCTGTCCATGCTGACAAAGCAGACCCAAATAACATGCCATTTTTGCGTATTTGTATTTTTTTTGGAAAATGTGTTGGTGCTGTTTCTGAAAATTCTTGAGGCATTCTCTGTGTAACATCCAGTTTGTACAATCCACAGGGAAGAGAAAGAGACGCTGCTCATTGGGGATTTTTAATAAAAGACTTAGGAAGAGAATTACTTTAGTAGATCATATAGTAAAAGACTGAGACCAGTCATTCCATTCAGGCTCACATGGCATAAGAATGTTATCTCCATTCACTGGGTTTTCTGGCACAACTGGTAGTTGAAGTGGTCGGTCTTCTTGAGTCACACTTTGAGAGAACCCATTAGCTGGCTGATGATGTGCAAGATTTTCGTCTCGTTTTCCATTAATCTACATAAAAAAATCCCTCAGCTTAATGGAACACCGCTTCTGTTTTTGTTGGCCAGTTAAAGCGTAGGCTGCATAAAGATAGCTTCGTACCTCCAATTGCTTCGTGTCGCTTCCTTCTTCTTGGTTGTCCGGCAAGTCTGTAATGCTGCCGTATTTATTTATTCTTTTCAAGCAGGATTACTTTTTCACTGGAGACCGCAGTAATTTTGTGCGACGTGTTCAGTGGTATACTTTTCAGTTTCTTATGATTTATTATTTTCTGTAGAATTTGTTGTTTGATATCCAGTCCCTCCACCACCCTCCCACCCCTTTTTCCTCCACATTGCTGCTTCTCGTATCCGGTGAAATCCCAGTGCTCTGAGCTGTTTTGTCAGGGCTCCCCATTTGAGCGATGAGAAGATGTAGCGCTAGTGGAACGTCTCAAACCAACCTCCCAATTAGGGGAAGTGAATCTACTGCTTAGCGTTGGAGCAGCACATTGGTAATGACACAGTGCAAATATGACTGTATACTTTCCTATATACGTACAGTATTTTAACAGAGTTTTTGCCAGTTCAGTAGCAGCTGATTGTTAAAATATTTTCTGAGTTCCGTCGTCTTGTGTAAGACCACAAAGGACTTAAAAGCTGACAGGTTTCTGGTGAAAAGGAAGCTTGGTGGCAGTGTGCAGCCTGTCTGCAGATAATACTGCAAAATGTGGAGGCTCTTGCTATCTCATTGGTCTTCCCTAAGAAGGAAACCTAACAATATCTTCATTGTACATCTAATCATGAATGACTCAAAGTGTCTGGATTCATATTCTTTGAGGACTAATGGTTTGCACATCAAGTCCTTGGGGTTTGCTTCTGTTCCCTCTTGCATGAGCCAAGTTTCCCAGTAAAAAAAAAAAAAAAAAAAGTATTTTCGAGTTGCCTGTGTTACTATCAGTTCTTGCTGTTTGTTTACCTTCCAAACTGGGTCCTGGCTTCTTTTAAAAACCTGGGCTAGGAAAAGGGTTAATACCATGTAAACCCTGAGATAAAGCAGGACTCGCCGTAAATGATTGAGTGCCATCTGCACACTGAGTGTCAGTTTTTGCCGGGACCTGTTTTTGACTCCACTGAACCTTTGCTGGTTGTGGTTTGTCTGGCCATCACATGACTTCTCTGAAAATTCCCCCTCCCCTCCATTTCCAGTAAACTGTTTGAACAGGAGTGACTCAGACTGAAACCAGCTTCCCTGTAACCACAGGGCTTGTTAAAGAATTTGTCAACGTGGACTCTAGAGGGTTGGTATTCAAGCTGAGCTGCAACTGCTCTGGTTTGTATTGCGTCAGGGCTTCCAGAGAACAACTTCCTGCTCCGCAAGTAGGCTGCTCGCCTGCCATGAGTTACACTGATGAACTTTGAGATAGTGACCGTTAAACACGTGTTGAACCCATCCTTCTAGCATTTCTTAAAGGCTTTGTACCTTGAGCTGCATTGCTTTTTTGCCACATCCTGATTGAGAGTTCCTCTCTTCAGAAGCAGGAGTGCAAAGTCCACCACCACACCCAGCTAGGGTTGCTCTGAGAACTGGAGCACGGGGCGCCCTGACAAGGCACGGTGACTGAGCCTACACCGCAGGATTGAGTTCAAGTCATGCCCAGAAACATGACGTAATCACAGTGGCAAGTGGGAGGTCTGTGCCTGACGGAGGACCGGGGCTATCTCAGGACTGACGTGAGAGCGGCCTTCGGGATCTGATCCGTGGGCACTCTGCGAGGCTCGATTTGCCAGCTTGGTTACTTCTTCGCTTGCAAAAACAAAACAACAAAACCCACCCCAAAAACAAACTAGTATTTAAAATAGAAACCAGGGAGTTTAAGGAAAATGGAAGTGTGTTATGTGCAGGACAGTGGAAATCTTACCTGGTTTTTGAGGGCGGGGGGTGGAAAAGCGTTTGTTTGAGCCCAACTCTCAATGCCCTTGAGTCTCTTTCTTGCTCAGTCTTCCACTCGCCCCTTTCCTCATCAGCTTCCTCTCTTTATTAATTGTGCTGTACAAGAAAGAGATTGTCAGTGTTTGGTCTGGGCTGCCTAATGGGTGGCCACCAGGAGACTTGTCTGCACATTGTGCATTCCTGAAGTTTGATGCATGCGTTTGTTAATACATGTAGGGGAGGGGTTTTTTTGGTTTGGTTTTTTTTTTAACCCTTTTGCCTTGGGCCAGATTTTCAAGTATAAATGGATGCTGATGTTAACATTGAAGCATCACTTTACAAATAAACTTTCCATGCAATGCAGTGCTTGAGAGTGGACTTCTAGCAAGATGGTTTTTTGTTGGGGAAAAGAATATGTTGAATGAACAGCAGATTTGTTGAAGTCTTGGCTGTCTCGTGGTAAAATGGTCCTGGTCAGCTTTGTCAGGGGTTAGAGAATACTTTATGTAAAACTGTTCAAGGGAACTTCCCAAGAAATGGGGGCAGTGAAGGGTTAACACATCC